AAACGTTAGCTAACTACCTATCACTGTGATTAAAAGTCGAATGCATTCGATAAGAATTTGACATGCGTCACATTTGCGGGTAGTTTTCCATTTCCGTACCAGTTGGCTCAGTCAGTGACTGCCTCTCATATCGGCACACACCTAGCTACTGTTATTACCGATACTGTCGGCGGTCGACTTCAGCTGCCGCAACTGCTTAGATATATTGCCTTGCAACTGCCATAGACTACGACCAGCAAGTACATATTGTGAACAGTGCTAGCATAACCCAACTGTATCTATCCATAGTCTGCGTAAACCATCTGTCTTCCAGCGTTAAGCTTTTCATTAGAAGGTATTTATTTTCCGAATAATAGTCGTATATATGTTGCATTACTCATTCATGTGACGAGTTTTGAACATCGAGAAATTAGTATGTGTGTATGCGAGACGAATTTGGGGCCCAATGGGGTAAGGGCGGTTGAAATAACGTATGTATGAACCATGTTGCCGGGGAATGGTAAACATTAGGTAAACATTATGCTATTAGAATCTGAACAAATACAACGTGCACTGTAAGAATATAATATAATAATAAGTTGAATATTTGCTAAAATAACATGAATTTGATGATGTGATCATGAATTCACAGATTGCGATTATTTTCAATTCAATGTTCAACATACATACTATGACAGTACCTTCAATATTTTGTCAGCGTAAAACAATATATGTTTGGATCTTCGAGATGTATCATGCAAATTTGTTTAAATAATACAATTATTGTTGACTGCGAGATCCCGGGTTATGCGTGAAATCGAACGAAAAAACAGGACAAACAAAAATCATAGCGTCGTAGTTGCTTCCGTGCTTCGCGTCAAACGCGAAAATATTGATGGGTATTTCCCAGCTTAATAATGTGCTATCCACACTTGATGATGGTTAATGTGAGGGTATCTCAACGCAAGGATCGCTATTACGACATTGAGCTATAAAAAAGGAAACATAAACTCAAAATCAAATCGTTCGAATTTTGTGATTTTCGGTTCGCACCTTTCACGCAATATGCGAGATCTCGGTGAACGGAAAATGGTCTATTAATATCTACTATGGTTGTAAGGCAATCCAGTTTGTTGTCACATTCCATGCTGTTTTAGATCCTCGCAAGTTTCCTTTCAAGTTTATTACCTTTAAATGTCCTCAGTTGAGCTGGTTTGTTTCAATCCGTACTTTGACTTAAAACATCGCATTTTGTTTGACCACGTCGGTAATATTTGGCTACACTGCCACAGCCGTTTACGTCCCAAACAATGGGTACAGTAAATTTGCGCCATCGATCGCCGATTTTTTTTATCTCCACAATTTAGTGAAATATACCACTCCCTGTTAATCTTTCTGCAAAATTGCATGGTACTGTTTCACTAATTATTGTCTCGGGGTAGATAAACATTGAGCAAAATGTTGGTGAGCAAAGTTCTTCAAATCATCGGACTTCATCACCAAATGAGAAAAGGAAACCTCGTTGTAACACCCCACCTCCCGGAAACACATAATGGCCAACACTTTGAGCTAACTAAGGTGGGTAAAAAGATTGAATTTGTATTTAACATCTATATTCAAACGTCCGTATATTTGTTTTAAAAAGTTGCATTGCAATAGACATAAAGCTATATTGAAATACCGAAGTGTAAATAAATGGTCGGAATACAGTGTACGTGAGACCACGCCCTCTCGAGACTTCAAACAATCATCATTAAACAGTTTCAAGAGAAAGTTTCGCTTACCATTTATGGCAAGATTTCCATATCTGATTCGTTGAGCAAAATTATACTTACCACTCATCCAACCTCTATTTTCTCAGATTACAAAACTCGTTCTTAATACTACATTCGTCGGTTCGCGGTGTGTTGGGCTGGATACCACGCGATGTGTACAACGCGTGTAATATGCATTGTTTGTTTATACGAAATTCGTAGCGTCGCGACTGTGGCACTGTTAACTACAATATTGCTCTCTCAAGTTGTTCACTGTTTAAAACAAGACAGTCATCATCGTGGTAGCGTACACTGTAACGCGCTATGATGTTCGTATGTTATTGTAGGTGTCATTTAAAAATGAAAGCGGTTTATTCATACGATATTCCGACTGCATTACTCCTAAAAGCAACGACCGAGGGTATCACTAAACGCCCGGTCACACCACCCGAACATTGTTGGAGCGTTCCTTCAACGGTAGAGAGGGGGCGGAATTTAGACAACGCTCGTCACCGCGCACAAAATGGGAAAAAATCGAAAACACGGGCGTTGCCTTAGAGGTGCGCCGCTGAAGCCGGCGTTCCTTTAGCGTTGGTTTATCGGCAGCGAGCGTTGGTTTAGCATTGACGCGAGCGTTGATAGAGCGGCGTTTCGCGCATGCGTGCGTTGGCTCGGCGGGGTTTTAAAGTTGGTTTAGCGGCATACCGCCCGGGCAAAGCTGGCGAAGCAGCGGTGGTCCAGCGTTCAAGGTTTGCCTAGCGGACCCCAGCGTCCACGAACTTACGTCTATTGGTGCAAAACTTTACTGAGCGTTGTTAGAGCGGTGGTGAACTTTGCCGGAGCGGAAAATTGCCCGCTTCTCACCGCTCGCAATATTTTGTGCAGCTCAAAACTTTCGGAGCGGTAGAAGGGACCATCAGCGGCGGCCGAGCGTATACGGCGTTGTCTTAACGGGGGCCAACCTCTGTTAAACGGTGGTGAACGGTAACGAGCGGTGATGACATTTTTTCACAGCTCCAGGAACGCTCCAACAAAGTTCGGGCGGTTTGACCCGGCCTTAACCAATGATGAAAATTGAAATTACGTTAACAAATCGAGTATTTCCGAGTAAAACTGCGTAGTGAATGCTGCTGCGAGTCTTCTGTAGCCATTTCAGCAGTGTTGTCATGTTAAAATTTGTTTCTGCAGTGCGCCTTCCAGTTGAAAAAAAAAAGTTATTGTCTGTTTCGCCTTGACGAGATATCTGAGAGCGATCATTTTTGAGTCCACTAGGTCAGGAGTAAAATCATGGACGGGATATGTCTAATTTAAAGTTGACACACATTTTAAATACGTCTAAATATAGTGGTGCGATTGACCTCGGTATATATGTATTCTTCCTTAGAATGGACTTCAAACGTTTCAATTGAATTCAATCTCCCGCCCAATATGTCATTCAACCACACGCCGTTCACGTGGACACTAAGGTTGAATTATTACTAGAGACACCGGCATGTTAATAGTCACAGCGGATAAAGAGTCGTCGCCGGGTTGGACGATCAGATCATTTGACCACGCTCATTGAATACGCTAAGTGAATTTTCCGTTGAAGTTAGCGAGCCCTGCAATTGCTTGTTCCGTGATGAAGACATATGACTGCTAACAATCCCTCGGACATCCAAAAGTTTGCAATTCATTGCTGTCTGTATAGTTGACATATCATCGTCGCAAACATCTGATCTCACAGCTGTGTACCACATTGTAACTCGGCAGGACAGTAAACGAGCGCCTTGAAAGCATTTACCAGACTGTAGAATAAAATAATATACTGTCATCAGGTAACACTATCTACCTTATGTTTAATGGTGAAATTTGAATTGTGCGTACATTATTCAATAGAAATCAATTTATTGACTGTCGTAACATTACTTGTACATTATCTAATATGCTAGTTAAGTATTTAAAAAATCGACAAAAAACACGTGAAAAACAAAGACACACATTATCTAAGCATGGCTAAGCGCGTTGTGACGCGTTTTTTAATCGTAGACAGACCCGCTCATTTCCACATACACGTGGCTTTTAAATATAGCAGTTTTTTCTCTGTATCGTTTTTTAAACTATTTCTTCACTTTTTTATATGATATGCATGGTTCTCGAGCTCGCACCACACGCAAACAATCATGACTTTGGAAACGTTAGTTTATACATAGTGAATTTGAGTCACTCCGAACGTATTGCCACCACGACACAGTAACGAGCAGCCGCACTGTTTGTGACATACTTAATCGGTAAAATACGATGGTACGGACTTTTGGGTCGCAAGATAAACCGAATACTGAACTGAGGGATCGCCAAACAACTATGACCAAAACTAGTAAATGTTTCATGTTACATCGCCTATCGATAATATGAGATGACTAGAAATAAATTTTCGTAGGGGAGGGGGTATTTTTTGTATCTGTCTATGAACTGTTCACAAGAGGCGTATGTATCCAAAATAATTACCATGCATGTACAAATACTATTAACTAATTTGGGACCAGTATAACTTAAAAATGAAATCGTTGGCATTATCTTAGCGTTTTGGTACAAACCAACGATGCGAGACTTACGCAGCACCACATTATTTTCATCAACATTGGCTGTGATGGTTTCACGCGAACTCATTACCCATGATTAGTAATTCGATAAATTATGACAGTAATAAATCTTACCATTGTATATATGTGAAATTAAATGCATGGATATACTTGTTTGCTAATATTAATATAACTGTAATGTAATGTAATGTAATGTAATGTAATGTAATGTAATGTAATGTAATGTCATATGACCTAGTGCAGTGCGGTGAGATGTAATATACCACAACATGATGTTAAGTAGAGTGGTGACTTGACTCATTTGCATACCTCGTGGAATAGTTCTAGGGAATTCACCTTTAGTTGTTCTTTTTACCTGAACAATGTATTCATCTGACATAGTTGCAATATAATTTATGGGGCGGGGGGGGCTCTTACACGGGTCTCAACATATTACGTACATTAACTAGCTACCCGATTTATAGATTCGATGAATGTAGTTGGGACATGGAATAATAGTACATTTATGTATACTGATGTGCATTTTAAGTGATTGACGACACTAAATTTCCTCGTAACGAAACTGTCCAAAGGGAGATTAGACACAAGCGCGTTGTGTTTTATCTGTGATGCCTGCTTTAACGGTGATCGCTTATAGTAACGATTTTCTTGCGTTCGGTTCACACAGGAAATTGAAAAAAAAAAGATGGAGGGACATTATAAACACATTGGAGACGACGGGGGAAATTATAAACATCTCAACGGAGTGAGTGCACTTTGTAAACACCTTGTAGACGACGGGAAAGACTATAAACATCTCAACGGAGTGAGTTCTTCTTCAAAGTCAGATGAAGTAGTGTGTAATGGTGCTTGTGGGGCTGGAGAAACGGAAATTCCCGATGTACCTACAGAGTTGGAAAGCAATACCGTAATTCTGGAGGATGGCAATGGAGAACAAATCGAAGATGATGGCACGGAGAAAGAAGAGGAAGAAGTTGATCCATGGAGCTTACTACCTGACTTACAGTCAAATCAACCGAAATGGTCTGGTAAGTTAAATAAATGTTTGACTAAGTTGGTTTAAGGAAGGTTTATGAGTCTAACAAAGGACTCAGATTGCATCTTGTGCTTTCACTAGTAAAATATTTAAAAAGTTTTTAACACGTTTTTCACACCTATTATCTTTAACAGAGTTAACAACTTGTGGTAAAGTGAAACGCATTTTGATTGGGTGGATACTAAAACCATTTCTGATATTCGTTTTCGTCTACTTCTTCATCGTCTCCTTGGCATTAATGGGCGACGCTTTCACGCTTATTGGAGGCTCGGCAGCAGGTGCGGCTCTCTCAGATGCTACATTATTGGAGAACCCAATCACGGGGTTGATGGTTGGCATGTTGGTTACGGTGCTGCTTCAGAGCTCCAGCGCCACGACATCTATTATTGTTGCCATGGTAGCAGCCAACAGTAAGTATAGTAAACTATGGTGATGAAAATGAAGATACATGCACATGTAAGCCAGTCACAAATTAACAATCACTGTGTTTTTGTTCTTGTTTTTTTTCACAGTGATTGAAGTCGAAGAGGCCATTCCCATGGTGATGGGAGCCAATCTTGGCACATCGGTTACCAACACAATCGTTGCCGGAGGACAGGCAGGAGACCGAGACACATTCAGGTTATCCTTCGCTGGGGCTACCGTTCACGATTGTTTTAACTGGTTGGCTGTTTTGGTATTGCTCCCTCTTGAATTGGCAACTGGTTACCTCTACAATCTGACTTCAGCAATCGTTGAGGGCTCCAATCTAGAGTCTTTTGGGTCTGATGATAGGGTGAAGATCACCGACCCAGTCGTGAACAAAATCATACAGGTGAGCAGCTACAACATTTATTTAACCTTGACAAAGCAAATTTGTGTTGCGCCTTAAAAACTACTGTGTATTCACTTCCTATTTAAGCCATCACGCTTAATCAATGGCGCTGCTATTTTACTGCAGACTGTCACTCGCACCAACGATGACGACAGCCGTGTATATACTTACATGAAAAGTATAGCCCCTTGCCTGTATAGTTTGGTCCCTGTAAGCCCAAATCACAGATTGTGAATTCCGTCCTAAAAGGCATCACCCAGGAAAATATTGTTTTTATTAAGTCTCGTTCTCGTTTGAAAATTAGATCGACATGGAAGTTTTAGAAGGAATCGCCTTAGGATTACTGGAACCCGGTGAAAAAAGCTTGGTCGATAGATGGTGTGAGTGTGAAGACGTGTATTACAATACAACCGTGTTCGCATCGGTCAATGGTACTAATTACACTGGGGTTGTAGAAGTGTACAACTACACAATATACATTGAGAGATGTGAGTATATCGAATTACTAAATATTCATGCATGACGTAAAAGGTTGTCGCATTTCTGTCAAACTTTGCTTTTCAAAAACAAAATTTTGACAACAGAGAGAAGGAAAGGAACGTCACCTGCGCACGCGCGGGAATTGAGTTCCAAGCGAGTGTGAGAACACACGCTAAAATGCAAAGGCTCATGGGGAGACGCTTGTTTGTAAACAATGACACGCTATGGTCATCTGGCGCATGCGCAGGTAACGACTCCCCGCTTTAATAAATATATGTATTTGCTTTTCGAAAACGCCTAATGCAATGTCGGTATGTTTGAATTTCAGGTGATTTCCTGTTTGCCCACTGCGACCTTGCTGATCAAATTATTGGGGTCATTCTATTGGTTATGTCATTAATACTTCTCATGGGATGTTTGCTCGGCATCGTGAAAGTGCTTGGATCAATGCTGCGCGGCAGCGCCGCCAACGCAACCAAAAGGCTTTTAAATGCAAATTTCCCAGGGTATCTTTCGTGGTTGACCGGATACGTCGCCATATTGCTTGGCGCTTTTTTCACAATGCTACTGCAAAGTAGTTCTGTTTTCACATCCATGTTGACTCCGCTCGTGGGCATGCGTGTTATAACACTGGCCAGAATGTATCCGTTGACACTGGGAGCGAATCTCGGGACAACATTCACGAGCTTACTCGCTGCATTTGCAAGCTCCGATTCACAAGATTTCGAAGAAGGTGTCCAGATAGCATTATGTCACTTATTCTTCAATTTAACTGCAATAGTGATTTTTTATCCTATTCCTTTTATGCGCCGGCCTCCCATCGGAGGTGCTAAGTTTCTCGGTAATACAACGGCTGTATACAGATGGTTTTCCTTAGCGTACTTGTTAATAGTTTTCCTCGCATTGCCGATAACCGTGCTCCTTCTTTCCATAGCTGGTGATATATACGTTGGTATATTTCTTATCATAGTTGGCACAATCGCCTTCGTCGTCATCACAATCAAAATTCTTCAGGCTAAATGCCCCTGTTGTCTTCCAAAGTTTATGCGTACATGGGACTTCTTACCCAAATTCATGCGTTCTCTAGAACCATATGACTCGGTGATTAAAAAGTGCATGGTTGGATGCGGTAAATGCAAAGCAAAGTGTAGATGTAAAAACAGCTCTGAGGATAAGGAAGAGGTAACTAGCGATGTCAAATCTGTCTTTTCGGAAAAGGATGTTGAAATGGTGGTGAAAAACGGCTACGAAATGCAAACCCTGGGTGACAACGATGGCTTGGACAATCCTATGTTTACCGTCGAATCGGAAATAGAATCCACTAACAACGGTATAACGACGTGACACCAACAAACCTATCGTATTTAATAAAAATAATTTTCAGAATTGTATCTCAGACAAGATTTGCTTTCTGGTTACTTTCTAGCCTATTTTTGCTGACTAAAAGATGGGCCTTGAATTATTGAACAATGAGCGGACAATATAGATGCTTCACGACATATTCTGACAAATATATTTAAGACTATCTCCCAATTACCATCGCATAAAACAGTGGGTGATTATTGACAAACATATTATACAGAGTGAACATGTATTTATTTATTTATTTATTTATCTGTGACGGTGCATTAGTTCAATATCGAGGATTAATTATTACTCGTTTCTGACTGATTTCGATTATTATAATGAAAATATTTGCATCCTGATACGTCAATGACGTGGATTTACTTAATCTTGCTAGTGTGATAAATTGTGTATGATAAATTTGACTGAAAAACACGTGACGTAACGCAGTCCTAGATCAAGTGCAACGCAATTGTTCTATGCCATCATACAAATGAAGCAATCAGAGAAAGATGTAAGGACCTTCGGAAGTGACGTCAAAAAGGGAACATATTGTACATCCGCCATATATCATTTGGAGTTATATTCGAGTTTTTTTTTTATGAACCCTAGTGGTCTACAGTGACACTGTTGCTCCATGAGATCACCCGTGTAACAGTTTTACCACATTTAACCACAAGCTCTTTATAGTATTATAACTGCCAAAATACCTCATTAGGAAATAAAGCTGGATAAAATCTCTGTTTTTTTTTACCTAAATGTAAAATAAAAGAATTTTCGTTGTAACTTGTATTTTTTTATTAATCTATTTACATTCGGCACCACACGAAAAAAAAAGAAATCGGACAGAAAGTGACCAACATGATTGTAAATGAAAATTCTAGTAGACTGATAAGGTCATTTTCAATGTACGAAAGTTTCGTATATGTTTGATTCTTAACAACTCAGGTGAAATCGTAACCATTCAATATATTTGCAATGACTAGAACCAGTTGTATTAATAAAAGGAAAACGTACAATCGGCTTTTTGTGTCAGATTTTAATGATTAATGAGTTTATTTAAATTTACAATAATTGGTGTCTACAAATATAAACTAATGTTGCACTTTTCTCAACATCCGGGGTATATATTTTATTGCTTCTCCATATGTCGGTTTCTAAAAGCAGTATTGAGTTTACATTTCCATACCATATTGCATACAATTATATAAAAAGCTTGAAAAGTAAGATATGCGCAATATTTTTTTTTTGAATAAAACACCTGTTTGAAAGATCAGATACTATTTGTTTTGATGTCATGTCCATATAATTTCAGTAGTTTATTTGAAGGAGATTATTAAATTTACTGCTATACTCACTTCATTGGCCGGCTATTTTATTTCAATGAAGCATGCTTGATAAAAAAATGGCGGCCATTTGTGCAGTTGAAGTAGATGAACTGTCCACTGGAGTTTTCATGCGATTCGACCTGAGTACAAAGATGGGATAGATGTGTACATGGGTACATTCTACGTGATATGTAATTCCTGACTGTTCGGCTGATCTTTGACATTTGCTCCGGTTGCACAACGAATACAATGTACTACTAAATATATTATAAATATGTTGTTGACAACCTTTATTGCAAGAGGGTATTTTGTTAGTGCAAAAATAAGTGACAGGAAGTTCTTCCTTTCATATATGAATTACGTCAATTGTAAAGGTTATTCTCATACCAACCAGACCTGGTCAAACCCAGCCACCTGCCAACCCGGGCTGCCAACCTCGACAAGTTCTCGCGGAGTCGGATGCATTTATGAATAAATCTCGGTCTCAGTGGATTTGGTCGATCCATTGTTGTCACAATCTATCGGGTTGTGGGTCGGGCCATATCAGTGTTCAACGTCAACTCTGGTACAATTTGAAAGCAGGTCTGTTCATGAGTCGGATGCACCAACCATGAGGTGGATCATCATGTGGTTCGAAAAAATAGAAAATGCATTTTTCAAACTGTGGCGCCCTCTAGCGACGAGCGTTATGTAATGTAGCTGGCCCGGTTGACAGGAACGCCGGGCAAGTATGACGTTCATAGATTCAACCTGCTGATCTGTACTTGTCCGTTTGTAACCACGTAGTGGTTTTTGTGTTTGTTTCGTGTATTTTTAGAAAATTGTATAGTTCAACTGACAAACAACCACACCAAGTTTTGCTGTGTACCTCTCCCTTCCGCTACTATCTTTGTCATTTCGTTCATCATAGCAGAAATTTGGCTCTATTCGTCATCTTCCTTGTGTATAACCGATCACAATATTCGTTAGTTCCAGCCATATACCCGCCAATCAGATGTCACACCATAGAGATGCAGGATAGCGGACTGACAAGACACGAAGAATTACGAGCATGCGCACGAGCAACCTGCGTCACTGGCTCCCCATGTGGACGCCACTGTATGCCATGTGTTCATCATTTGTTGAATACCGCAGTAGAAACGCGCGATTGATTAGTTAATATTTGATTATATTCATTTGTTCAAATAGATTGACCATGTATGATATTCAGTTATGTCACAACTCAGTATACGTTGATCAGTTAAGCAGTGCAGTTGAACCACAGGGGCTTGACGATCTATTCGTCTCAATGCGTGGACATCTATGGGGCCGATCGACTATGTCCTGGTACAGGACTTTGTCCTTGCTCAAAATACCTAGTAATATAAATTATGGAATTAAGATTGGCACAATCTGAAGGCTGGTATCACAGAGAATATAAATTGTCAAATTTCGCCATATATGCGTAAAATCTGGAAAAATATATGATTTATATGTAATCGGACAACATTTTTCGATAGTCCAGTGTCTTATAAGAACTCGTAACTGGTTTGGACAAGGTATTTTGTATTTTGAGGTATGATTTTCGGCAGCTAGAAAAATGTGTGCACATTTTGTTTCCTCCTTTATCGTATATATAGTGCAAGCTGATCGGCCGGAAACAAATATTAGTGATTTTCGTGGTTTTGGAGCGTGATGATTAAATTTAATAACATATGCTTGCTTTACATTACTAAACTGTTTTAATTCCATAATTTCTATTATTGTGAGCAAGGCCAAGGTCCTGTACCGGGACATAGTCGATCGGCCCCATAGACGTCTATGCATTGAGACGAATAAATCGTCAAGCCCTTGTGAGCTGAACTAGGTCATTGTGTCAAAGACAGGGCGACCTTGCGGGACTCCAACTCACGTTGTTTGGACTTCGTTCAGTTTAATACAAGACTTGTTGTACGTAGCCGTTCTTACTTCAATCTAATCACAACTGCATTTAACGTGACAATTTGCGCTGTGACAAATAATTGTTCCTTTTCCAGTAGTCTAAGATATTCATTTTCAGCGAAAGAGGGTTGACCGTTATTACAAATATGGTTGACCGTCATCATGATTGAAAATGGGGTTGGTCGTTATTACAAAAAAAGTTAGTATTACAAAAATGGCTGGCTGTAGTAACAAATAGGGTTCATATTACAAATATTATTGATCGTTGTTACAAATAGGGGCGATCGTAGTTACAAGAATAGGGTTGTTTATTGCATTTAGTGGTGGTACAAGTGTCAATATAATCTTGCCATACACCTTGACATTTTATATTCCAGGTACCTAAAAGTGAACTTTCCAAGTCGCGATTAGGTTCATCTTTAGTTGTATGCCACAACGTTTAATCCTCTTGACTGTCACGATTGCAACTGGTTTTTGCTAGAACGTGTTATTCAATTTTTTTTTTTTTTTTTTTTTGTTTTACTTTTCTTCATTACGTTGCATATTCATCGATGATTCAAGGGGAATTCGTGCATTTTTTAAAAACATTATTTTTTTTATATGTGTAAAACAAAGAGAATTTCTGAAACGCATGGCCAATTAAGTGTGTCATGTAATATCTCTTCCGTATACAGATCGTTAGATGGGCGGCGATAAAAAACGCGAATAATGAGCGGCATCGATAAGACAATGTCCACGTGAACATTGCACGACATATATTTATAAGATGAAATAAACAAGAAAAGTTCCTTGTCCGTGAATCTCCCACAAGTAATAACATCCTTCAAATTAATCAGTTGATTTTCTACGCTAGTTTTTGGGCACGTTTAATTATGTACAGTATACCGCTACATTATTAGCGTAAATTGTAGTGTTATTTAATACACCAACAACGACCAAGTAATACGGTGTGTGCAGAATCAGTCGGGGCGGTCTATAATCACATACTTATATTTGTGTGTTTCCACGTTGACAATATTTTGCTGTGGACATGATCCGGACATTATTGCTGTGTGCCACCTTCACTTTGCTATGCTGACGATTGAGGGAGCGATAATAAGTACAGCTCAGAGTTGTGATAAACGCCGCTCGCTACGTTGTAGTGTTACTCAGCGACCGATCTAATCATGTCAGCGATATCAACTCGTCAATCTTCCCCAGCCTACTTAGCTACATGCATGTTACATGTGCTTCTTTATTTGTTACAATTGGGGATGTCTCGAATTTCTGTTGATCATTTAAAAAGATATTAGTGTTCGGACAACAAAATAGTTCCTAGATATCTAACCCAAGATTCCATAGAGAAGATAATGATCGACCAACAAATTACAACTGTCAAGTTCACGTTTGAAACCATTATATTGAAAAATATATCTAATCCAATAAAGGAAACGAGTTGTAATTCAACTCATCATTTTCTTATACCGCGGTAGATCATGAGCTTGAATTTAAGTGGATAACATAGACTTTAAATTCATACAATCAAAGAAAAACAATCCACACCACATATAACACACAACTATAATATTATCAATACATGTATACAGATAGTATCGTTAAATGTCTATTTTTCTTAAAGGTCAGACTAAGTTGGAGATTTGAGTAAATGATAAGTAATAACGTAATGCTGAATTGATTTGATTTTCATGGAGAAGAAACGAAATCCAATAATATGCGCCTCTCGAATTGCCGCGTCGTCGCAATGTCAACGTG